ATATTTCATGAGGAAGCGTTTGCATTAGAGCAAATAGATATAGGGTGCTAGTTTGTTTCTCTGTGGCGAGTGAAAGCTGAGTCTGGATGACATTTTGAAAATGCAATGCCTTTCCTGGGTTCTGTCATGTTATAACTAATAATTATGGGAATCTTTAACTCAGGAATCCACTTTTTGCTGTCTCATTGAGTTCATATCATCCTCAACAGTTGTTAGCAGGATAACCTCCATCGTCCTTTAAAATGATATCACAATAGGCTTTTCCTTTCACTATTCACCTCTTCTTGTCAATGATTCTGCTATTCTTCCACTGGACATTTTTTTCAGCCTGTCAGATTTGCTAGGGCTGAATATGCTCCTAACCACATTGACCAAAACTTCATTTAGCCTTCTGTGATCCTCTGGACAGAAGAGTATTTGGCTATACTTTTTGACTATCAAACTGGAGATAATAGGTTTTGTTGCAAAGACAGTCTTTGTACTTGGAAATTAGGTATGAATCATCAAGGACTGTTTTTGAGAAGAGCAAAGAGAATGAAATCCAGCAGAAAGGAGGAAATGTGGGATCAAATCAGGATCTGGCTCTGAATTTTTCCATGAGAGCAGGTGAAGCAGCAAAGGGTACTAACTACCCCAGGAAGAGTTTCTGGCCATGATAACGCAGGATTGTGAGCCCTAAACAACATCCAAAGGGGGTAGTTGGTTTTGGGATTTTACTAGTTTTCATCATCTCCCAGTAGAAAAGGGACCAATTCAGTGGGAAATCAGTTTGGGGAAATGTTAGAAGTTAGGAAGGGATAGACCATCACCAGTTAGCATGTCCACAGCTAATGGAAAGCAGATATTAGGTAAAGACATTTGGATGAAGGGAAGTTAAGTTTTCAACAGGATAACTCAAACAGAGAAAGACAGGGGGAAAAAACACAGCAAGGGGAAAGGGGAGCACCAAGGAATTATTTGCATCAGAATTTGCCCCTTTGTTCATGAACTTCTTGTCTTAGAAAGATCAAGCAGGTGTCAGGATCAATGGCACACTTGGTAGATCTTCCTGGTTCAATGGACCTTTAGTTTGAAAGTAGAATGTCACTTAAGATTTGTGAGTGTTGAAGTTGACCAAAGCTGGTGTGACATTTTCTTTCCCTTGTCAGTATTCAGGCTGGAAGTGGGGCATAAAATATCCATGAGAAAATTGTTCTTCAATGTGGACTTGGGAAGCAAGGTATTACTGACACCAGTGATTTAGTAAAAGATGTGTTTTGTTCTTGTTACTGGTGATTTAATTTGGTTAATCACTTTGCTCATATTTAAGATTCAAAAAAAACCCCATAAGCTGTAATTTTACAGAAGAGAGAACGGTCATTGTGAAGCACAAGTGGAGGTGTTCTATACTGAGACAGAGGCATACAGTTAAACCAACTTAGAGCTGTTTGGCCAGTGATGAAGTTTATTTGTCGTTAACCATTGGAATGAATTTTACAGACTCCAGATGAGATACATCTGGCCTGTGTTTTCTATAGACAGGGCCAATCAAAGTGTTGTGTGAGAACATTTGGTTTGGATACTGTGGCTCAGCATGAAGACCTGGAGAGAAGGTTGAACACATCTGAGAATTGCAGAAATCCTTTTCAACATAAATGTCTAATTTTGTATAAAAGACTAGAAAAAAAGCAATGCAGAGGGAGAACAATGTGCATCTGCAAGATACACGGATAACGTGGAAGTAGTACATAAAGAGAAGTGCTTATTCTGGCTCTTACTGTACAAAGCATCCTACCTTCTTGCTCCAGCCACGCCATATAATGATTTTCTTCAACTTGCAACTACACTGTCTCCATGGAGATACTCAGAAAACATTGCAGTAATAGATAAATGCATAGAAACAAGAAAGGCTAAACTTTCGATTCAAAACATTTATTTTTGTTACCTGGAACGAACCAGAAGCATTTCCTCTCTCTATCTTATACCTAATTTGAGGACTGAAGTTTAATCGCTCTCCCGTCTCTGTCCTTTGGGTTACTCAAACCCCAGATCAAGTGCTAGTTTATCAGCAAAGCTTCCTCAGCTCACATCTTGTATTATTTGTTCCTTTATCACTAACTGTCTGCACATCGTAAGCCTGCCTCAATTAAGTATTTCCTGAGTATGGTTTCCTCTCTTTAGTGTGATGTTCAGCTTTTAAAAATAGACACTATGGTAAACTCTTCTTTTAATCCCTGATTCCTTCTTCCATTGATAGACTGGGGACAAAAACGGCTTACTGACCCCAGGAATTTCTCTGGTTACTGACTGTTGTAATCCCCTTTGCAAGGTCTCAGATAGCTGATGGATAGATATTGAAGACATGAGGGCCAAGAAGATACCATATGTACTTCAGGACTTAAAATTAGGAAAAAGAGATACAGGGGTGGTTTTGAAGAGAAATAAGCCAGATTTACAAAGACAAGTATTGTACCATGTTTGATGGCACATGCTTGTAATCCCAGAACTCAGGAGGCTGAGGCAGAAGAATCAGACGTTTAAGGTTAGCCTTGACAGCATGGCATGATACTGCTTTAAAAATCCAACAAAACAAAACAAAAAGTCAAATATCTTATTTATCAATTAGACAAAAAAGTGATAAAAGCAAAAAGGGGATTATGTGGAAAAAAAGAAGGGAGATGAGTGGGCCCCATGGAGAACAATAATGGATAATAGACAATAGTGGATAAAAATTATTTATTTGCGTGTATATCATTTTCTTACTGAACCCCAAGATTTAAACAATCAATACATGGTAATAAAAATGTATCCACGTTTTAAAACGTGTAATAATGTTAGTGTGGTGCAATACACATAATGTCTGTCTTTGTAGAATTCACTACTAGCATTGTTGTGTGGATCTTACATTTGTATGAGAGGTGAGTCTTCCCAACACTTTTCTGAGAGCTCCAGAACCTCTGGCTCAAAGAGCATGACAACTAGGTTTTAAAGAAATGAGTATTAAAAAAAGGGTGAGTATGGAATGAACATTAGACCTAAAAGGAAGTGGGGGGTAAGTAGAATCAAAATATGAAATTCTCAAAGAATTAACTATATGCAAAACAATAACACACATCGTCTTATATATAATATTATACTAACTATGTGGAAAGGGGTGGGAGGAGCTGGTAGATCAGCAGTCTTGATCCTGCCTTAGCATGTCTGGATAGCCATATCAGAACCCTGATATTTACTTTTTTGCATTTTAGTTAGATTTTAGGAGTTTCATCTTAACCCATCATCTTCATAATATCTTAAGCTCTTTGAGGTCCAGAAAGTCAGGTTAGCATTGAGTTGATGTTCCTTGACAAACTTCTCATAAAACTACTGCAAAGAGATCGGTCTAAAGTCCCTGACTTAGTGCCTTCTCTAGGATGAGTCCCTGTGACAGAATTATGATTTACTAATTCCTTCAAATGTGTTTATGTATGTGTCTCATCTCCGTGAGTCACCAAACGAAACACAAATTGTTTTTCTCTGATCTGCTACTCAGTATTAGCCCATCCTCCACTGTCTCCCCAACAGCCACAACATCCCAGGAATATTGCAACACCCTCAGATCTGCCTCAAACCTTTCTTACTTTCTTAATGTATAATCAGCAAGATGTGTTCAGTGCAAACACCCAGAAATGTGCTTATCTGCATCATGGCTCCTTTGTGATTTTTGATGGACAATGATGATGGTGATAGTTGTAAATCGATTCCTGCTTATTTCTTAATCAGTAATTATTGAAAATTTTGAGATCAGGTGTCTTCCTGTTTTCTTCCTCCAGGAGAATAGCTGTATAGTCTCTGGGCAGTAAAGGGTGGCTAGGAAGTCACGAGTCTGGCTGTAACAAACACCAGGATTTCTTAAACAGAGTACTGCTTACTGCACAGCAGAAGTATCCGAATGCCCGTTCTCATTTTTAATTTTGGTGCTTCAAGTATCCCCCCCCCCCCGACCTTCTATAACCGATCTAGTCCAGTTTTTATACTCATCAATTGCTGTAGGAGCGACAGGTAAATGGCACGCTCGAAAAGACCAGAATCTCCAACCTTTTAAGGAGGTAACTTAGTTGTTCTGGTTGTGACTTTAACACCTCTGGAATGGAAATGTCGCTAAAATTTCCAAGGGAAAGGCTGGTCTGGGGTCACCAGTGCTAGAGTGTTTTCCACTGTCACCCTCAGTAACTGGGATACATCTCCCTCTCCCTGCTGTTTAGATTTTTAGCATCATTGATATGCAGAAGCTTCCCAAATCCTAAATCTTCCTGAGGGACGAACCGAACCGTTTAGAAAGCTGCCTAATCTGACACAGTCTAGCTTCCGAAAGAGTCACTTTCTGGGTGGCAGATGATAATGCCCTGTTTCCAGAGGCCAGGAGCACAGTTCCCTGGTCAGTGGCATGCAGTTTTGTGGCTAGACATAGCAGAACATCGTGTTGAGCCCACTCCCAGGTGACTCTTTCTTGCTTCTCATAAGCTAAACTTCCCTCCTGACTCGCCAGTTGTACCCTGCCTCATTCGTTCTCTCTGTGAAAGCCCCACATCTGGGCAAATCTTTCATATCGACCACTCTCCCAAAGCAGCTGACTGGCATGCTGGACCAGATGCGACTGCAGTCTCCACAGCCTCCGTTCAGTACCTGTGTCACAGCCAGCCGGTGGCTAGAGCGATGATGCAGAAAAGAAACAGAAAGCAAGGGAAAGTCAGGAGATGCTGGATTCAAATTATAGGCAGGGCGATGTTAAAAAGAAGAACCCATTAACAATAAATCCAGGTTCCCAACTGCAGGATTAGAAAAGGGAGAGCTAAGAAGAGCAGCGAAAGGAGGGGCTTGAGACAGGAGCGACAAAGACTTTGTCAGCCTCTCAGACTCCCCAGCCCAGAAGGACAGGGCGGGGGTTGAGTCGCGGCTCCCCATTGGCTCCAGCGCGGGCCCCTGGACTTCTATAAAGGGCAGCTGCAGAGAGCAGGCTCTGCACGGGCTTGGAGCTGGAGTGGCATTGCCTGACTCCGCCCTGCCCACAGCGCCAGCCGGCCTTGGACAGAAAGACTGATGACTGACTGAAGGCAACAGAGATTGGGTAGGAATAATCAATGGCAGCATGGAGGAGGATCTGTGCTTGAGGGAAGCCTGACGCCATCTCCAGTTTGGAGCAGGTGCTGTGGGCACTATCCAGGAAGAGCGTTTGCAGACAGCCTGTCCTGTGTTCAGCTGCCCAGCTCTGCGCACTTGCCCACCCTGAGCAGGTCCAGTCTTTTTTCCTGGTTCCTGGTATTTCTCCCCTCTCCCTGCTCCAGACACCTTGGAGAACACTTTATCAGCTTAGAGCTCCAGGGCACTGAATAGATTGCCTGTCTGTCTGTCCACGGCCTCAACTTGCCCTCTCCCTTCTTTGAGAGGCTCCTGGGCAAATAGGTTAGGGACCTCACGGGTCCACTAAAGGCACTGGGATGGAAGAGCCAACCACAGAAATGCCCCCAGAGGCTTTCCAGAGCCCTGGCACCATGAGCAGCTTCGGGGATGAGCTGACTCCAGAAGCCCTGAGTGTACCTAGTGGTTTTGATGACTTGATCACATCCACTACTTCCCAACTACTTCAGGCTGTGTCCAATGTCGCATCTGGTGTACTGTCCAAGATGCCAGGCCACATGGAAAACTCGGGAGACCTGGCCGACACATCAGGTCCCCTAGATGTGGAAATTGTATCCGAGGATGATCAGGTGCAGTTCTGGTTAGTGGTAGGGTACACCATAGTGGTCTTTGCCTCCATCATTGGCAACTGGGTCTTAAACCACATAATTATGAAGTACCAGAAGGTCCATACTGCCACCGGCCTCCTCGTTGTCAACATTTCTGTGACCAACATGATGCTCGCTCTTCTCAGCTCTCCCTTCACTATGGTAAGCAGGGGTCCTGAGGAGGGTAACCGGGGGAGTGGGGCAAGAACTAAAGTCAGACTTGGTACTTGCAACAATCGGTGCTGTGTGGTTAGAGGGAGGGAGAGTTAGAAAGGGCTGGCTTGGTTTGGAGAACATTTTCATAGGAAATAGAGCAAAAACTGAGAAACATTGAAAAGGGCTTGGAACTGTGTTAGGAAGACTGGCAGGATAGTTGTTGTGTTGCCGAATTAATCCCTTGCCATGCTAGAGGCTGAGAGACTGTTGGGCTGCCCAGGGAGGTAGTGGGACCTGTTGCTAGTGAGTTTTGGTCTAATGTATGAATCCAAGTTTTGTCATAAAGATTAAGTCTATTTCTCCACCTTTCAAATGTTGTGCATGAACTTGAATGTAGTTAAAAGGTTTTGTGATTTAGGGTCCCTTCATGTCTTCAAGCCGGAATGTTGTGTGGGAGAAAATGAGATGAGCGTGAGAACCGGAGTGTAAAAAATATTCCTTTGTTTATTGGGAGAATGACAGCAGCCTTTTGGTAAAACAAGGAGACTTTTATTTGTCTTGGGGCTTTTGAGAGGGATGGACACAGGGCTGAGTTCCTGTGCATCACCAAACCCTTTTTCCTACAGGTGCGCTATCTGTGTCATTCCCTGGTGTTTGGAAAGATGACCTGTCACCTCAGTCGCTTTGCCCAGTACTCATGTGCCTATGTAACTGTGATGAGTATGGCAGCTATTTCCCTGGATCGACATCGGGTATGTGCCTCCCAGATCTTGCCTAAGATATCCTCTTAGATGGATGGAGAAAAGTGAGGTCATAAGAAATCTACAAAGTTTTCTAAGTTCTTAAGTTCATATATGTAAATGCTTATGTGTAATTTGGTGATATTGAAAGATGGTGAAATACATAACGTCACCAAATTAAACCTAAAAAAATGCGACCATCTTTTCTGTGGTGCTATGGGAATAGAGATGTGGCAAAAAACACATGATACATGTTCTTTTGGGAAATATTTCCTGTTTGCTGCATTGCAGGACTGGCTAAAGGAAGCAAGAGGGCATGGATAAGTGAATGTGGATGTAGTATTAGACCTGCCTGAGAGTTTAGTAAGGCAGGTGGGAATGAAGTCTGTGAGGAAGGATTGAGGGGGAAAGTGGCTGATGGATAGAGATGAGTAAAGAGCTAGGAGAAAGATGGAAGTCAATTAAAAGGAAGAGAGGCAAGGGAGAAGAAGCTGTGGCCATTGCATAGTTAATCATTAAGGGGGGAGACAGAAAATCACTGACATGGGAAGACCAAAGGAATAAATGGAGCGTGATTAGATCCAGTTAAGAAACCTATATGAAAAAAGAGGAGAGAGAGAGTCAGGAACATAGAGCAAAGGAGAGAGGGTGGGGGTAAAGTGACTATGAAGGAATCAAGATGGGAGGGGGTGAGAGGGGAGGGGAGGGCATGAGAAAGTCCATGGAGTAAGGCAGGGAGAAAGGTAGATGAAGGAATATGTAGGATACTGTCATACCCATTGGAAGGGAAAGACAAAATCAGCCACACTACTGGCCATCTGTTTCCTTTCTCCACAGAACTGCAGACAGAGAAAGAGGAGTTTTGAAGTCAGTTCACTTGGATTCCTGATTTCTTGAAACGTAGCAGTGCTGTAATTTCATGAGCAAAATGCCACATACATGTCAAATGAACTAGTACATAAAGCACATTACCACCTACATACTACGTCTCTGCACCCTTTTATCAGAATAGCCATTTTTGACGTCTAACTTTAATTTGAGTTGTTAAGCTGGATGGGGGGGTCCTTTTTTTCCCCAGGTGATGCTATATCCTTTGAAGGCCCGGATTAGTCCCATGCAGGGCAATGTCTGCATCATTGTCATCTGGATTGTGAGCACCTGTGCTGCACTGCCACATGCTGTTTACCAGAAGCTTTACCAGGTGGAAATTGGGTAAGAGGAACATGGGATGAGAGGAATGCTATTATACTAGCAGCCCAAGACCCTGGAAGCCATAAGGAATTATTTAGCAAATAGGAGCCAGAATAACACATTTCAAAACATAGGGAGAAAAAATAAAATTCTTCTAAACTGTTATTTGTCATTATTTTCCTAAAACTCTCAAGACAGTGGGCTACAGTTTCCATCTTTGGGGCCATGGCTTTCCTATAGGTACATGAGAAGCCTGGGTCAGTTGAATCCTAGCTCTCCTGGTTTTATGCTCAATGCAGACACAACACAAACAATAAATACATCTCAACCTTAAGACCTAATGGCCTTAAGGAAAAGACTAAATCATTGGTTTTGTTTTTTTTCTCTCTCATATCCTAGAAACACAACTGAGGAAAGTGCCTGCCTCCCCAGTTTCCCATATACTTCAAAATCCACATGGAAGTACCTTGACCTAGGCACCTTTCTCGTCTTCTTTATGTTGCCTTTGCTGGTCTTGGTGGGGGTCTATGCTCATGTGGCCAAAAAGCTGTGGATCCATGATGCTGTTGATGACATCAACATCCACACTTACATCTGCCAGCGTGGGAAGAAGAAGCAGACCCTAAAGATGATGATGCTAGTGGTGTTTCTCTATGCAGCCAGTTGGCTCCCCCTTAATGTGTACCTGGTGCTGCTGTCCAGTGAAACCATCTCAAGCCACAATGGTCTCTACTTTTTCCTCCACTGGCTAGCAGTTAGCAGCTCCTGCTACAACCCCTACATCTATTGCTGGCTCAGTGATAGCTTCCGTATTGAAGTGCAGAAGGTCATCATGGAAATCCAGAAGAAGCTGCTAGATAAAATCAGCCGCCTTAGGGGAGAGCATCGCCGACTGAGCTCTGCATCTCATACCCATCCCCCTGCCCCTGAAGATGCCAATCCAGGAGTGCCCAAATTCCCACGATTCAAAGATTTTGATGAGCTGCCCAGTCCCCCTCCTTCCCCAGCAGTGGAAATCTCTTTTCTCCACGCAGTGCCTCGAGTTTAAGCTGCCCAGACCGCGACTGACTATCAAAATATCTGAGGTATGATAGGATCAAAATAATTAGAATTCATTATTGTTTTTGAGTACCACCCATATATTATGTTTGTTTACAGATAGTGCAGGCCTTAGGAGATATGTGAGCTCCTATATATTATTATTTATATTTTATTTAGATGTACACAAGACTGATTTCATTACTATGTTTCTATGGAAATGCTAGGAGACTAAGGTATCATTTCTGAAATTTCACAGGATGCTCTGGGAACTTGAAGCATCTTGTAAGTGCAGGCTCTTGGTCATATCTTCTCTTCTGTGGTAGTGAGGATAGGAAATGTTACAGATGCCCAGAAACAAATGAGGCAGTGAAGTGATTCACCCCATGTAATCAGAGTTATTTCCTCAGGTTGCTGTACAACAATTTGGTGACAGCTTCTCTCTGAATGCAAGAAAAATTGAAGTGCCCAAGTTCACACTTCAAAATCCCAAACCTCCTCCGTGTTTCTGACTATACATTTAGTTTCATACTTTGTTTCATGTAAATTTGTACTCTCTACTTTTGTCTTTCTTTTTCTGGAAAAAGAGAAGATATAATGTGCTTACTGTTGTTTTAATTATCTCCATCTCTTTAGCTTATGGACAATTTCAACTCAGCAGAAGAGAGGAGGAGGAAGAAGTGATACCTCATCCTGTCACTGCCATTCTTCTAGGGACAATGTTATTAAGGTCCTCTGGACAACATCCATGGGTTGCAAGTGTCAAGATGATACCAGGATGAGAACCGGATTTGTGCTCCTCCTCATTTTCCTCTCTTCTTCTTTGCCTCCTCCTCAGTATTCTTGTTCTCCCTCTGGTCTCTCCCCATCTCCTTCCGAGCCTTTGTCCGTTTCCTCTCCCTTGCTCCTGTTCCATCTTCTACTCAGCCTTTTCCTCTTTCACTTCAGCCTCTACTTCCATTTACTTTCTCCACTACTACCTTTCTTCTTGTTTTAAAAATCTCTTTAACAATAACAAGTTATCTGTCTGAGATATCTCCTGGTTGGTAAGGTAGGTACAGGTTTTTAGGATCAAAAACTGAGGTAATGATTCAGTTTCCAACTATTCAGCTTTCACATAGTGAAAGGATGTGGTGGTATTTGGGGTTCTGAACTTCAAGTGTTTCTGGGAAATGACCATACTTGCCATAGTAGTGTGTCCCTTTTAAGATTGAGGATAAATTGGGAGAAAGACCTAATTGAAGTTTAAACTCAGTTTCATTCCATTGTCTCTTTCTGCTTCCTTTTTATCCTTATAATTTAATCCATTGTTCCTGACCTATCATTAATACCCCAATTGTAAAAACAATGAACTTGTATTACTGAAGTACAGGTATACATATTTGGAGTAGCTTTAGGGTGAAACATGACCTTATCTTCTATTATGACCAATATAAACTGCCAACCTACCTGTGATCTTTCGGCTTCAGCTATTTTGGTGATTAGTAGTCTTTGTGAGTAGTGAGCTCTGCTTGTGTATTTTCCAACATGTAAATACTTCTGATTATCTTAAGGACAGATATATGTATTTCCTTTTTATTCATATTTGATAGAATAGATATTTCCCAGGATAATCGACTGATGGCAAGCAAAGTCAAATTTTGCTTGAGTACACTGTGAATCTTAGAAGGATTTTACCTGGCTCTGGTAGCCACCTTCTCCTGTTCAGATTCAGGAGAAATTTGGGTAAAGGGCTATTATTGTAATTTAAATGAACCTTGTGTTTTGTGCTTTAACTTAATGTTCTATCCTTCCTAAGAAAGTCCTTCCCCATCTCTGTTCTATTCTGTACATAGAATCACACTTCTTTCACTCCCCAGTAAGGCTTGGAAACTGGAATGCTCCAGGTAATTCAGCTTCAAGGTTTGCTGCTGATTTGGCTGGAAACTCGACAGACTCAGAACTTTAAACAACAGCGTTGGTAGTGTATGGATGTTTGAAGAATTGAGCAGACGAATAGTTTCAACTTCACATGAGCCTTTGTTTAGATGTTTGTCCACAGCACCTAATCTGAATTCGGCACCCAGCCAAGTCTGAGGGTGCTACAATTGTAAGAAGTTTCTGGCTGGAGGGCTCATTTGGTTGGAACATTGTGCTAAAGAGCTCTAGATCCTAGGTTCTAACCCATGTGCAGCCATTTAGCTCTGTGAGTTCGGGCATGGTGCTAAAGAACTGTGGTCACAGGGTTTCTAAACCCCATGTGTGTCTTTTTTACATAGGCTGCACCATTTACACTAGCCAATCTTTTTCTGAACAAAGGTTATCTGGAAGCTACCAGGAAGGCAGCAGCCAAACTGTTGTGTAAATAGTATTTCAAAATCTGTTTTCACTTCTGGAGACAACAGTTCCTATCCTTTACTGGCTGTGTGTTAACCATGTCACGTTACTCGAAAGACAGCACTTTTGAAATGTACAAATGAACAGAGAGTGTACCAGAAGTGGCAGACAAGAGAAACTGCTAGATTCTCCCCTTTGACAAATTCAAAGGCATGCATTACATGTTTTAAATGCCAAGAAACTGTATCTTGGTACAAATTAGGATATTTGCTGACATGCTTCAATGAGCATAAGCTCTACAAGTAGCCTGTCTGATAGTCAACCTTAACAGGACAGTTGGGAGCGGGGGAATTCCTCTATTGGCATAGATATCTGGGATGCTGGTAATCATGTTTTGGCCACTGTATATGTGGACATGCACATTATTCCTCATGTGTTTTTATCTGACAGTCTCGTTCACTGTAAATTCCCGTGTATCTTCTAAGTTAAGGTGTCTTTCCCCAGTATCACACAAGGTTCTACAAATGCATATACATATACTAGTATAAATAGATAACTACATACACATACACCAACACAGTATAGTATATTAGATCACATAAGGTGTCGCAACTTTCTTGTTTATAAAGACTCTCAACATCTCTAGACTCTGAGGCAAAGATTCACAGATGGAAACACTGATGTCATCTGGTATACATTAGGAAAGAAAGAAAATATACCTGGCATAAACAATATGAGAGTAAAAATGATGTTGTTTATTCTAATACTTCTTATTCACAGACTTCTATGTGTCTATTTCAAACTTACTTACCTTATATTAGTAATAGTAATATCATGTATGTGATTATGACCTTGTATTATAATTCTCAAAATAAGATCTTATGATAGTTATCAATAAGTGTTCATTTTCAAGATTTTACGCCGTATTGAAAAAACTAAAAACTTCTGGGGTATTCTATAAAGTTTCAACATTTTAGAGGCAGCTCAATACTAAAGGAAAGAAGAGCCTTATCTGGCTGCTCACGGTGCACATGGATGAAACGGTGTAGATTAGCCCGGCGAAATTTGCCTGACATAATATATTCAGGCCCGAGTAAAAGTGTCTGTGCTCAGATTTATGGAAATAGATTTATGTTAATTGGATTGTTGAAATGTAGCATCTGGAATGAATTCCCTGCTCTTTTGTGATGAGACCTCCTGGAAATAAAGTTTGCCAGTTTATTTTTATAGAGAGATCTTAGAAGGCAACAGGTAGAGAGATACTGTGCCTCATGGCTTTTTATTTAATAGGATTTGGTAAGTAGCAAGTCTGACTACTGTACCTGTAATTTTAGATTGGGCTGTAAATGCTTTTGTACCTGCAACGTAACTCAAAGGAAAGTCTGTTGGAGAAATACCCCAGAATAAAAATATTTAAATAAAAAAATAGAATAAAAAAAAGCATCTTTAAATTTAGAGTCTATATAGTAGTTAGTGAAATTTTATCCATTCCCTGCCTGTGCGGTTCTCCTCCCCGTGGAATGGAACTGAACTTGCTGATACCCTAATGCTTTCAGCTTTTCAGCTTTCCTCACAAGCTCTGTGGAAGTATGGAATATATCCTAGGCACGTGTACATAGGCACATCAAACACTTGCTGCTTGATTCAAACCTACCAGTGATATGGACTGTGTGGAACTGAAGCCTTCTGGGAGAAAGACTGACACTGTCTTATTCTACTCGAATGAATGAGGAATAAAGCTCCCTGAAGTGATATTGATGAATTACCCCTTCACAAAGGGAAAGAAAGAAATCTTACCATTTTACAACAGGAGAATGAACATTATTCCTACCAATATGCTTGTTACTTGTTTACCTGTAACTGTTGCTTTAAATATTATCTACTATTGTTGTTATTTCTCTCTACTCTAATTTAATGTGTGACTATGTATTCTATATCAAAGAGAGGAGGGGCCAAAGGGAAAGGGGATAGTGTGGTTACAGGGGTATGGAAATAGTAGTAGATTAGTACATATATATTTACATAAATATATTAAATAAAGCTATTCATTCAAAGCACTACTGAGCTCTTCTTGTAGATCTAATGGGAAAACGGAAAAGGATGGGGGGAGGCAGTTGGGTTGGTGGATATTTGTGATTCACAGTGGCTCATTAGCTCAAGTCAATGTTTAAACCTTTCCATGCAATCAACACATAGGCATTAAAGTATAAGGGGATGGGGTGAGGGTCTAACATAAAAGCAAATCCTTTTATGTTTTCTATGGAAAAGCTTTGGGGTGAACAAAGGTTAGAATACTCCACAGAGGGAAGATGCCTTGCTTGGTAAAGTTAAATCCAGAATTTGAGAAGTTTATTATTCCTCTAAATCAGTGGCTCTGAACATGTGGGTTGCGACCCCTTTAGGGTTAGACTGACCCTTTCATAGGAGTTGCATATCAGATATCCTGTATATAAAATATTTACATTGAGATTCACAAGAGTAGCAAAATTACAGTATGGAGTACCGATGAATATAATTATATGGTTGGGATTACCACAACAAGAGGTGCTGTCTTAAAGGGTCGCAGCATTAGGATGGTTGAGAAGCACTGCTCTAAGTATATTATTCTTGAGGCGTCGCCGCGACTCATCACACTAGCCCTTAGAGATGCTCATATAGTCTCCTGTTGGCTGAAATCCTTTAATAGTTAGTAGGCTTATGTGAAGGTCTAGCCTTTCTCAGACACATTAAAGGAGAACAACTAGAGAATAAACTCATTAGACCCCAAACCATAAACACGCTTTAACAAATGCCAAGGTCTTACTTTTTTTGGCTTCTGCCAAATTCTATTCCCACGACTATAAATTCGGTTTATTTTCTTCACATAATGACTTTTCAGATACCTGTTTGCTTTCTAATGACAGAAAGAAAGAAAGAGGAAGGGAGGGAAGGAAGGAGGGAGAGAGGGAGCGAGGGAGGGAGGGAGGGAGGAAGGGAGGGAGGACATGGATTTTTGTGGATGTGGATGGGGATGTGGATGTGGATGGGGATGTGGATGGGGATGGGGATGTGGATGTGGATGGGGATGTGGAGAGGACCTGGGAGGAGTTGAGGGGGTGGGAATATAATCAGAATATTTCATATGAAAAAAATATGTTTCAGTAAAAATATTTGAGATGATAATTTTTTTAAGGTTATGTTTTATTTCAGTCCTTGTGTTTGTGTCTGTGGGTTTGTGCAGGTGAATGTAGTGCCAGGGGAGGACAGAAGAAGGTGTTGGGTAGATTTGAGTTGCCTGACATGGGTGCAGGCAAGAAAACTTGAGTCATTTGTAAGTGGAGCCAGTGTTCTTAACTGCTGAGCCATCTCTCCAATCTCCTGGTGGTTAATTTTGAATGTCTATTTCCTGAAACCCACAATCACCTGGGAAGACAACCTGAATAAGGAAATATCTAGATCAGGTTGGCCCATGGCAGATTGTCTTCCGTGTTAATAGCGGTGAGAAGAGCCACACTGAACGTGGATATTACCAGTTTACAGTCTGGGCCTGGACCTGTATAAGAGAGAAGAAAGATAGCTGAGCATTAGCAGCAAACAACAGGCAGCTTGACTGTATTTGTTTTCCTCTGCTCTTGACAGTGAATGTGCTGTGACCTGCTGTCTCAAGATTCTGCCTTTGTGACCTTCAGCAGCAATGGACTGTAACCTTGAATTTTAAGCCAAATTAACTTTTCCCTACCCCGTGTGGCTTTTTGTCAGGATATTTTATCACAGGAACAGAAATGAAACTAGAACCGATTAATAACATCGAAGTCTAAATCTAGTTCCACTTACATAGCTTTACCAATATTCCCCAATCCCTAAGCCTCTGTCTCTCTGCCTTGTTTTTACTTGAAGATTATTATTTATTTCCAGCCACTATAATAAAATACTTGATAAAATCAACTTATAAAGAAAGTACTATTTATAAAAAATAAAGCTTATAGTTTTAAATGCCTGAATATTCAAATGATATAGTGTAGATGCCAGCAAGGATCACACTACAGCTATGGGATTGAAGAGTGGATAGAAACGATTATATTTCAATCAAGGAAGTAGAGGGTGGGAGAGAAACCCATGCCTTTAACAAATAGTCTCTGGCAAGAACTACAGTTAGATCACAGGAGAGCTAACTTAAATCTTTCTAAAGACCATGATGCCAGTAGGACCTAGAAGTCTTCCATTAGGCCCTAACACTTAAGTATGCCTTTACCTGGGTCCCACTTTTTAAATACCCTGAATCCTGGGAACTCTTGGGGGTTACGCTAACCGATTTGAAACTGTCAGCATATTGAATTTTTATTTTTGTCTATAACAATACATCTGCTATTCAAGCCAAAATATTTAATATTTTTTAGGATTCTAATAACCCTACTTTCATAGTCTCCTACAATAGAGCTTCATAAACTTTTCTCACTCATGAGAACTTTCCACCTGAGAAATTTTTATACAACCTTGACTATATAGGTACACAAAAGAAACATACAAATCAGATTTTACTGATGAAAATTATGCATGTGTTTGTATTTGAACTACTTTTTTGCTGTTGCACTTTCAGAAACTTCGTTGTTACCACCCCTACCCCCCAAACCCATCATTTAGCTTGTGGGAATATGTGGGGTCACCACCTAGTTTAAGATATTCTGATTTCGACTCCAGCCAGGGAAGCAAGTAAGCTAATTTCAGATATTCACTTCTTCCTCTGCTCCTCCAAATCCCATGACCTGTCTTATTGCAGCTCTGCATTTCCTTCTCTCCCTCCCTTATCTCCAGTGGATCACACAGATCTTCTGCTTCAAACTTCCCATCCATGACTCCTCACTTTATCCCAGACTCATACTCCGACAGACATTCCCTGGGAACCCACAGGCTACTCGGGTCAGATAAGCAGGTAGCCTAAGTGTGTATCTTTACCACTCCTGCCCCTCCACCAAATCCAGTTCTCCAGTCTAGCCCCATCTCTATAGCAAACCACCTACTGCCGTTTCCCTCCTTGTTTCTGCACAGCGGGTCACACAGACTTTCTCCTCCATTCTTCCTACCTAGCCATCCTGCTATTCTAAACCTCAACTCAAACAGGGCATCCTCTGGGAACCCACATGAGAAACAAGTAGGCCAGCAAAGCAGGTAGGGAAGCTTCATATCTTTACTTTCCCTTTTCTTCTCTATATTCGATTCCTTGTCTCAACCCCAACTCTGCAGCAAATCACCTGCTGCTGCCTCCCTTCTCTCTAGATACACATTCCCAGGGGACTTAACAGATACTGGTGGAACACCCTGTTTTCCTCCATCCTGTAGACGCCATTGGCAACCACCTCCTATTCCATCCCTATTGCTAAGTTTCATATCCTAATACCTAGGAACAGATTTTACCCTGAACCCCCAGTGAATACACCTATCAGGATCCAAGAAAAATTTCATACTAGGCAACACATAGTCATCACACCTTCCTAAGAACCAGAGAAGGCAACAGAAATAAAGGAACAAAACACCCACTCAACAAAGACAAGACAATATATTACTACCTAAAATTATAATCTGCCAAAACCCAGATGCCTAGATGATAGAGTAAAGCATAATCAATAACAGCCAGTCAAAAACAAATATTTGTTTCTACTAGAATCTGGCAGACCTACTACAGTAGGCCCTGAGAATTGCAAGATAGCTGAAACACAAGAAAAAGATCTTAAAATAGTCTTTAAGAATATGGCAGAGGTCCTTAAAGAAGACATTAATAAATTCATTATAAACAAACAAACAGTGGAAGGAAATGATTGAAACGGTCAAAAACTTGAAAGTGGAAATAGGACCAATAAAGAAAACCCAAACTGAGGGAAATCTGAAAATGAAAAATTTAGGAACTCAGAGGCAAGCATCACCAACAGAATATAAGAGATGGAAGAATCTTAGGCATTGAAGACACTATAGAAGAAATAGATACATTTGTCAAAAAATGTTAAATTTTAAAATTTCCTGGCATAAAATATCCAGGAAATCTGGACATTATGAAAAGACAAAATCTGAGAAGATTAGGAATAGAAAAAACAGGAGATACCCAGGTCAAAGGCATAGAAAATATATTCAATAAAGTCATAGAACAAAACTTTTCTTATTTAAAGAAGGAGATGCCTAGCAAAATGGAAAAAGCATACAGAATAACAAATAGACTGAACCAGAAAAGCAAGTTCTCTGGGCACATAATAATCAAAACAATAAATATACAGAACAAAGAAAGAATATTAAAAGCTACAAGGGAAAGTGACCAAATAACATATAAAGGTAGATATGTTAGATTACACCAAAATTCTTGGAGATTCTAAAATACAAAAGAACTTAAACAAATCTTCTTCAGTTTCTAAGAGACCACATGTGCCAGTCCAGATTACTATACCTAGCAAAACTTTCAATCATTATAGATGGAGAAAATAATACATCCCATGATAAAAACAAGTTGAAGCAATATCCATCTACAAATTCAGTGCCACAAAAGACACTAGAAAGGAAACTCCAACTTAAAGAGGTTAAGCAGTTCCAAGAAAACACAAGGAATAAATAATCCTACACCAGAAAATTAAGAGCATAAACACGCATGAGTGTGAGGGGACACACACAGACATGCACGCACACACACACACACACACACACACACACACACACTGCACAAGAACAAAATAACAGAAACTGACAAATACGACTCATTAATCTCTCTCTCCATCAATGATTTTAATTCTCTAGTATAACAACACAAAGTAACAGACTGGATTAAAAAACAGGATCCATTTTTTTTGCATCATCCAAGAAAACACCTTAGTGCAAGAAGAATGGAAAATATATTTCAAGTAAACAGACATAAGAAGCAATCTGGTGTAGACATTTTAGTATCTGAAAAAATAGATTTCAAACAAAACTAATCAGAGGAAATAGGAAGGGATGCTTCATATTCAACAAACAAACAAGCAAACAAAATCTACCTAAAGGACATTGCAATTCTTAACATCTATGCCCAAAACACAAGACATCCAAGTTTGTAAAAGAAACA